TTACCAAAATGCTCAATCAACTCACGTGTCAGACCCTGAACTTAACATAAGGCATTGTACCTTAAATAGCGACCTGCTTTAAACATTTAAGTAAGTTGTCCAGTTCTTTTTGGCTGTACCCTTGAATACTTGAGGGAAAGATTTGTTTTACTTTGCAATCAGAAACCTGTGTCTGTAAAAATATAGTATTTCTAGGGTCTCTTTAGCCAACACAATACTGAGACACCAAAAACATCTAGGGTTCAAGGACCTCTAAATTTGGATGGTACTTGCTCCTGGGTAGCAGAACAATAAGTTCCCAAGGGCAGCTTGTCTCCTGGCTCTGCATGACCACAGAGTTATCCATGACCCATAATAGGAGTCACCATCTTCACTCCTTGGGGTCAGCAAGACAGCTTTGGCTGATAAATATCATTAACCAGTCTTTTGATTGGTCCTGGATGACAAAAAACAAAGTTGAGGTTTGTCTACCCTGACCATTTTTGGTGTCTTACCAGACTGCCCTACTCAATTTCAGAACCACCAACCCACAAGTCACCATGTCAACCCATAGTAATTTGTGATTTTTGAACTTTGAGGTCTCTCCTCAGAAGTAAAACTGTTCAATAGCTGTGGAAGTTTCAGGCTGTAATTTCCCTCCCTGAGATTGTGGCTGTAATGATAATATAGACATGAACTTTCACAAAATCATTGAAACCCCTACTTCCAGTAGAAGAGTTCTCCTAGATCTTACTACTCTTTTAAGAAACTCCTGCTATCAGTGACATAGTCATTCCTTTGCTTATTGTCCTTCGATTATCGAAAATGCAATTTATTCATCATGCTACACAAAAGTTGAGGAGAGTAAAGAGAAGAACATATATCAAGAAAAAGGACAACCGCCAATAACAAATCTTGTGGTCACAACAACAGAATTTAACCTTACAATTTTACACTCTTGTGTACTAATAAAGAATAAGAAAGCAGATAAAAGAAGATTGGCCAAAAGTGTTATATAGAATTATATCTGGATTCCTACCTCTGACTGATTCTGAGGAACGAAAACAGACACGATGTCAAATAAAGTGAAAAATAAATATTTTTAATTTATTTATGTTCTAAAAGAAAGTGGCGAGGGTACCATGACACAATACAATATTGTAATCTGAATGGAAAGAGTTATTTAATCCAGATATTCTGAAGGAAATTTGCAAAAATTTTCAGAAAACCTAGATAGCACTGGAAGAGCACAACAGTTATTCATAGAAAACAATAGCGTCACATCTCACATGCTACTTATTTCATTGGTCAGTCTACCAACAAAAACAGGGAGGATATACTTCTGGCGTCACAAAGTCCATCATAATGTTGAAGTACTATAGAAATGGTATAGAAATCCATACAATTAATCAACAACCTCTTTATTGTGGAAGTTTTAAGCAACTCCAAAGGAGAACCATTCACATAAGTAACTAAGGCAACTGCAAGTTATCCACATTCCAGAGTCGATCTCTGTTGTTAAGTCCGTGAGAACACCCTTACACTTACATTTGTTAAATATTATGAAAATTATGAGTGAACAAAAGGTGTCTAGCATACTTCGAGATAATAATTTCCTAAAGCAACTACCCTTTCAGCAGCCAGGGTTGTTTATTAAGTTGAGTACCACTGTTTATGATTCAGCCTTTTCTGTTTTCCCTAATGCTCCTTTTTGTCATTATTCTACCGTTATCAGGTGGATAAGCTGAATTAATTATCATGTCGAGGGGTGATGACAGGTTAAAATATCTTTAATTGCCCATGGTTTTTATGCCTAAATGCCTGTCACGATTAAAAATATTATTATACACTACTAATGCTAGAAATCTGTACAGAGCCATTAAAGTTATCACCAGACATACTGTGATGTTATATCAGACCTATTGTCTATTAGCAGTTCTCAGGTTACTGTTTATAGAAACGCAAATTTATCACTTAACACTACTACATGACTTGACAATTTTTTTTAATGAAACCACAAAATCCAAGTTGGGAAGGAAACGGACCAAGTGAGGTAGTACAAATAAAGTTTCTGTAACATAACAACTTCTTAAAGAGCGGCTTGAGGGCACTGTTGAATATAATAGAAGATGGAAATATTTTTGTTCTGAACCCTTTAATTTGATTCTGGAGACATTGATAATACAAGAACTCCCGAATTATCAATATTTCATCCATGATTTATGTTACAATACAAGATTTTCGTTAGAAAATAGTCTCTAGTACGACATACTGAATAAGATAAACATGTAAGTTGAAATGAAATAGATATATTTAATATTATACGTGAATTAATAGTACTAGTTTCGTGTCAGCTCGTTAGAGGGCTTGTTCGTTCCTTCGCTTGTTTGTTTGAAGTTAAGCACAAAGCGACACAACGGGCTATCTGTGCTCTGCCCACCACGGGTATCGAAACCCGGTTTCTAACGTTGTAACTCTGCAGACATATCGCTGTGCCACTGGGGGGCATTTCCTTCGCTTTAAGAGTATCATTTACAACAGGTTTAAGAGAGAGATATTATGAATAGTTGAATTTCACACATTATTGCATGTTATTTTACTAACAAAGTCGTGTATATAGTATAATTTGTAAATGTAATTTTAACAAGTGTATATCTGTAAAGTAAAATTACAAAACAAAACAAAACACAAACAATAGAGATTGAACATTTATCTTTTTTTACAGGATCATTCAGCCACCGGAAACAGAATATATTATAAATATTATATTACAAATAACTTTCTCCTCTACTTATATGACGAATTAGCACATTGCTAAAACTTTTTTGTTTTATTGCCTGTATAACCCTAAGTAACCAAGTAGTCATTGCCCCTAGATTCTACGAGGAATTTCCCCAAGAGTATCGATAAGATCCCTTCTTAAAGTTTGGTCATGGTCAGTCTACCCAATCTATTTGGAATAATCGGATTACATGTAACTGTAATATAGGCTATAAATCAAAAGTGACATTTTAAAGTTTAAATCTATCTATATTAGATTAAAATATGGCATCACTGGATTACCCTCAACGTTTTATTACAACCCTCTGTAGAGCTGTGGTATAAGTAACTGGTACAGCTGTGGTATAAGCAACTGGTACAGCTGAGGAATAAGTAACTGGTATAGCTGAGGTATAAGTAACTGGTATAGCTGAAGTATAAGTAACTGGTGTAGCTGAGGTATAAGTAACTGGTACAGCTGTGGTATAAGCAACTGGTACAGCTGAGGAATAAGTAACTGGTACAGCTGAGGAATAAGTAACTGGTATAGCTGAGGTATAAGTAACTGGTATAGCTGAAGTATAAGTAACTGGTATAGCTGAGGTATAAGTAACTGGTACAGCTGTGGTATAAGCAACTGGTACAGCTGAGGAATAAGTAACTGGTATAGCTGAGGTATAAGTAACTGGTATAGCTGAAGTATAAGTAACTGGTATAGCTGAGGTATAAGTAACTGGTATAGCTGAAGGTATAAGTAACTGGTATAGCTGAGGTATAAGTAACTGGTATAGCTGAAGTATAAGTAACTGGTATAGCTGAGGTATAAGTAACTGGTATAGCTGTGGTATAAGTAACTGGTACAGCTGAGGAATAAGTAACTGGTACAGTTGTGGTATATGTAACTGGTATAGCTGAGGTATAAGCAACTGGTATAGCTGAAGTATAAGTAACTGGTATAGCTGAGGTATAAGTATCTGGTATAGCTGTGGTATAAGTAACTGGTACAGCTGAGGAATAAGTAACTGGTATAGCTGAGGTATAAGCAACTGGTACAGCTGAGGAATAAGTAACTGGTACAGCTGTGGTATAAGTAACTGGTACAGCTGTGGTATAAGCAACTGGTATAGCTGAAGTATAAGTAACTGGTACAGCTGTGGTATAAGTAACTGGTATAGCTGAGGTATAAGCAACTAGTACAGCTGAGGAATAAGTAACTGGTACAGCTGTGGTATAAGTAACTGTTACAGGTGAGGAATAAATAACTGGTACAGCTGTGGTATAAGTAACTGGTACAGCTGAGGCATAAGCAACTGGTACAGGTGAGGAATAAGTAACTGGTTTAGCTGAAGTATAAGTAACTGTTACAGGTGAGGAATAAGTAACTGGTATAGCTGTGGTATAAGTAACTGGTATAGCTGAGGTATAAGTAACTGGTATAGCTGAAGTATAAGTAACTGGTATAGCCGAGGTATAAGTAACTGGTATAGCTGAGGTATAAGTGAGGGAAATAAAATAAAACTACCAGTAATCTATTTTTATTTCCTCTTTTTTTTCCCCACCAATTCCTCCTTTCTGCAACTTCACCACTAAAAACAAAAAATCCTATGCTCCTCGTAAACATCCTCTGTGAACACTGTTGTTGAATATTATAATTATTGTTTATAAACGTATTTGCTGTACTGATACACATTTATTTTATTCAATTGTGAAATTAAATCTGGTCCTTTCATCTTTAAGTATTGCCAGTCTAAGCTGACATTTCATAAATTAATGATAGAATAACTGAGTTATAAGCAGTTGTCTTTGTTTATAGCCGGTTAAAAAGAATGATTGTCTTATATACAATGTGCTTCAGTTATTCTTCTTTCATTGATGTGACTTAAGCACCCAAATCACAGCCGTTAATCAATGATTCCAATATGATAGCCTTAGCTTTGAAGCTTCTCTTTCGACTGTTTCATATTATCAATGAATATAATAGTCGAATAAATTTTAGTTCACGAAGTCGCTAAGGTTTCTTGTGATTTGTACTATATGTACTATCGCTACTACTAGAACAAGAGTAACACTTGTGGGTTCTTTTTCTCTTTCCCACTCGTCGCTAGGTTACAGCTGGACTGCATCCCTGCATTGTCGAAAGCCAGGGGAGAAATCGCGCAGGCGCGTCTCACTTCTCCACAGACCGTGGTGCCTGCATCACTAAAAGGCTAGACAGAGGTTTGCCAGAAGTAAAACCCTACTGTACATTTTGCCAAGTCCACTAAAGGTCCAGGTTTAACTGTTTACATTCAATGATATTCACATGGTCATGCGCTGTGTTATCTTTGGAAAGTAGAGAGAAACTTTCCGCGAATATGACGTCAAGAAGAGTGGTGCGACATTCGGGATGAGGAGCATGAGCACCCGGTACAAATGCAGTGTCACTCCCAGTTCTCTACTCTTATCCCCGAAAAAGACGGACGTGCTTACGGTCACTGGTAACACCCTGGGGCAGGCATGGGGCCACACATGGCACGGTCAACCTGTCATGAGGCCCCTCGCTGGATTTTACTTCCATCAACTTGATTGGCCACAGTTCCTAATCCGATGAAATATGAAATTTATGTTTAACTATGAGACCTGCACGCCAAACTTGGAAAAGCCCTACCGTGAAGTACTACAGAAGTGGCGGCTGTGTCTGGCATCTCTCGTCTTTTTTGCCATCGTTTTAGTCGATAATGTGGCAGCTTGTCATGTCGTAGGAGGAGTAAATACTGTCCGTTCTCAGTTTCGAAATCCTTGGATTCCTTACGACTTTATGGGTGACTACACATTTAACACTAAGGTGACTCGCACCTGCCACGGTCCACAGGAGCCGCGCCAAACACAGTGCCTTCATTTAGAAGAGGACTTATGCAGTTTGCTGCCGAGTACGAAGCTGGAGCAACTTCATTTAGATTTTTGCTCTAATTACGCCCTAAAAACTGTGCTTGGCTCACAAGGTTGGCAGAATATTATGGGTGTTGACGTTGACCGCTGTAGGACAACTCTTCACGACGTGGTCAGTCTGGACAACATGGCCAAGAGGGTGATGTGTGAGGTGGAAGCTGTACTTGCTCGATATGACTGTCAAGAAGGTTTTTCGGTCAACTTTAACTGTGAGGATTGTGAGGTGGGTAACAATATTTTCGAGTACTGGAAATATAATGTATTTGGTTCACTATTACGATATCATCAAGGGCTTATGATGAAAACAAGCTAACTACGTAGGCCAGAACTAACAAAATATGATAAAATGTGGTTACTTTTACACAATGTAATTACCAGGGACATGTAATGTCACGCAAAAATATATATACATATTAGAATACATTGATCCATCAGTTGGGTTCTCTCGCTGTTATCGATATTTTCTTCTTCGTCCTAAAAATGTGTAACGGGATTCGGCAAGCTTAGTAATTGAGGTTAATCCCAAATCCATGTATTAATCTGACAGTGTAAACTAATCTTTATAACTTAATAAATACATTCGTATATCAAGCATTATAATCAATAATATAATAAAACTAACCTTTAAGAAAGAATGGAGTGTGTCTTAACTGTAATAAGTAAAATAAACAACGATACTTAGTTTATATTGTTTAATATAGTGACTATTATAAAGTAAACAAGAGGGAATCATCAATAGCCGCGGCACTTGAAATTATTTTAGGAAGGATTAGAGTACATTAATCTATGAGACTTTGTTTCCATTTTTTATTGGCTATATTTTTGTGCTCCAGCAATACCAAGCGTGGGGCACGAGTATACCAGATTCGCTTTATTACTCATATACGAGCCTACCCTCAAATTGAAATTACTTTAGGCAGGAATAAAATAAATTAACCTGCGAGACCTTGGGCGTGGTCAAATATATAAATCAAAAGGATTTGACCTCTTGAGTCGAAAACTGTAATTAGATCTTAAATAGGTGAAGAGATGACGGAGCTATGAGCTAAAAGTTTGTAATTGAAAAAAAAAAAAATTCAGAGCCGTTCTAGCAGCTGCTCATCAGCGGCTAAAAACACACAGATATAATTTGTTTATAATATATAAATATGTATATGTACTGTACATATATCTTTAACACATAAATAAAGTTGTTCTAAGTTTTAGGGATATAGACAAATATATTAAATAGAGATCTAATTTTTTCTCGTACAAAAGTGAAAACGATTTACAGAGTTTGTTGTATTCGTCATAAAATTGTAAGGTAATGTTAAATTGTAAACTAATGTTAAAATGTACGCTAATGTTAAATTATAAGCTAATGTTAAAATGTAAGCTAATGTTAAATTGTAAGCTAATGTTAAAATGCATAGTTTGAGAAATCAAAGAAGTTTCGATAGTTTTAAAGCGTAGAACTCGCTTTTAAAATTCAGTAATCAATATTTACTTGGAGTAAACAGTCTGAATTAATGTTTTTCAAGATGCTGGTTTATTAACTTAAAATGATTAAAGTACTCACTAATAAATATTGTATTTTTTTCTAACGGTTGTTTTTATGGATATATTTTTCACCCTTGGAATTTTTTTTTAACATGTACGTTTCCTTACCCGTGTAAACAAATATTCATTTCATTGTTTTACATTTATGTTTCCTTAAACAAGTAAGTTTTTAACGGGTTTGTAAGCAGCCAGGTTTTTCACAGTCTTGCCAGTAAGTTTCAATTTTATGATTGATATTTTTTTAAACTGAAAATCATATTGCAAAATTCCAAGATATTAAATGTGGTTTCAAAACCTTTTGAACTTTGAGAATAATTTCATCTCACGTGTATGGTACCATGTTGCAATTAATGACTCGAGATTACGTCTGTTTTTATCATGTCGCAATAAATGAGGTTACGTCCGTGTTTTATTACATCACAATAAGTGACTCGAGGTTACGACCATTTCTTTTTTTTATCAAGTCACAATGAATGAAGTTACATTCATGTTATATTATGTCACAATAAGTGACTCATGGTTATGACCATGTTTTTCAACGACAAACCAATCAAAATTCAACACAAATCCATGGATATATGAACACCTGCTACGTCGTACGAGTATTTTTGGCTTTGAAACAATAAGGGACTGACTACCTGTTGTACACATGCATTTATTTTACAAAACAGACACCGAGATGCTATTACAGCTTTGCCAAAAACTGAGCAGGAAATTGTTGGTCAAGAATAATAAGACAGAGTAAGTATGGTCAAACGTCATTCTCAGGAAGAAGTTGTCAGATTAACAAATAGTAGCTAAAAACAATTACATATTAAAAACCAACTCAGGATACGAACCATGTTTTAAAGGAAACGGTAAATTATCCAGGTAAGCACCCTTTGACTGCAAGAATTATATACAAAAACAAACAAAATGTCGACAATATAACTCGTAAGTGAAATGTTTAGCTATCTATGTTCGTAGTATATATATATATACATATATTTCTTTTCGGCCTCACTCACAAATGTACCACCTATTTTGGCAAAGCTAACTAAGCTGCTTTTCATATTGCTCAGTTTTATTACATATAATGTGCATATACTCCTGAAGTTTGCTATACAACTAAAATTATGTCAGAATTGTAATTAGAATCCCCGTCACCGACCATGCTTTTTCATCCGTGGGGGCATTATAATGTAACGGTCAATCTCACTATTCGTTGGTAAAGGAGTAGCTCAAGAGTTGGCGGTAGGTGGTGATGACTAGCTCTAGTCTTTCACTGCTAAATTAGGGACGGCAAGCACAGATTAGCCCTCGTGTAGCTTTACGCGAAACTTAAAATAAACCAAAACAAGTAATTAGGGCATGTTTAACCAGAGTACGTCACACTTTCCAGTAGAAGAAGAATAGGCAGACGTTATACTCCCCCCCCCCAAAAAAAAAAGACAACAGATTATTATTATTTGTTGCACTCAAAATAGAAAGTCTGACTGATGCAAAGTCTGTCTTTGTATACGAACCGTCCATATAGAGCAATAAATAACCGCATGTGTGTGTTAAACAAATACAATTGTATATAATTTAAAACTTTAGCGTTTATTTTAGTTTATTTATTACTTGGAAATAGTTACCTTAAAAACCCTTAATCATGTTCTGAAAGATATAACTATTGGAAAATAGAGCTTTTTTATATATCCAATATATTTATGCATTAATATTAATAGATTGTTTCTATTTGTTTGTAATTAAGCACAAAGCTACACAATGGGCTATCTGTGCTCTGCCCACCACGGGTGTCGAAACCCGGTTTCTAGCGTTGTAAGTCCGCAGATATACCGCTGTGCCACTGGGAGGCAATATTAATCGAAATATTAACATTATATTCTGTTTCACTAAAACAGCCTTTGAAGTCCATGTGGAATACCGTGTATTGCACACATTTTAACATATTTTCCCACACATGCTTCAAATTTTGGCATTTCGTTAGTTTCTTAAAAACTATTACAACTTCAATTATTCAACATAATTATTATAGGTTCGTCCAATTAATTATTGTCAAATGAAATTTCAATTATGATAATTCTGTAGGTTTATCTTGCACTTCTGGGTTCGAAACTATAATAATGTTTTTCTTAAAATATTTAACATTTCATGAACTTTTGCATGAAAAAATATATTTACTGAATGAAATTAATTCAATGGATTAAAAACTTGGCGGGTATAGGTTTTGGATTAAATGATAAAGCTTATGCCGTCTATATACAAATTATTTCATGTATCGGGTTTCCTTTATGATGAAGTTTAAGTGCATGGTTTGCAGTATCGATTGTAGTGATCGAAAT